TATTTGCTTCTTTTTGTTCTAGAGCTTTTAGTTGTGCAGTCAACTTGTTAGTGTGTGCTCTTTCCAGTTTCTTTTTGTAGGCACTTAGAGCTATGAGCTTTCCTCTTAGCACTGCCTTCATGGAGTCCCACAAGTTTTGGTATGATGTGTCCTCATTTTCATTGAATTCTAAAAGTTTTTTATTTCTTTATTTCTTCCTTGACCAAGTCATCATTGAGTAGAGAGTTGTTCAGTTTCCATGTGCACATGGGTTTTCCATTGGTTTTGTCATTATTAAAGACCAGTCTTAGTCCGTGGTGACCTGATAAGATGCAAGGGATTATTTCAATCTTTTTTTATCTGTAGAGGCCTGTTTTGTGACCAATTATATGGTCTATTTTGGAGAAGGTACCATGAGGTGCTGAGAAAAAGGTGTATTCTTTTGTTTTAGAATGAAATGTTCTATAGATGTCTGTTAAGTCCATTTGGTTCATAACTTCTGTTAATGTCAAAGTGTCTCAGTTTAGTTTCTGTTACCATGATCTGTCCATTGCTGAGAGTGGGGTGTTGAAATCTCCCACTATTATTGTGTGAGGTGTAATGTGTGTTTTGAGCTTTAGTAAAGTTTCTTTTATGTATGTAGGTGCCCTTGCATTTGGAGCATAGATGTTCAGAATTGAGAGTTCACCATGGTAGATTTTTCCTTTGATGAGTATGAAGTGTCCTTCCTTATCTTTTTTGATTAATTTTGGATGAAAGTCAATTTTATTTGATATTAGAATGGCTACTCCAGCTTGTTTCTTGGGACCATTGGCTTAGAAAATTGTTTTCCACCCTTTTATTCTGAGGTAGTGTCTGTCTTTGTTACTGAGGTGTGTTTCCTGTATGCAGCAAAATTCTGGGTCTTGTTTGTGTATCCAGTCTGATAGTCTGTGTCTTTTTATTGGGGAATTGAGATCACTGATGTTAAGAGATATTAAGGAAAAATGATTGTGGCTTCCTGTTATTTTTGTTATTAGAGGTAGAATTATGTTTGTATAGTTATCTTCTTTTGGGGTTGTTGGAAGATTACTTCCTTGTTTTTTCTAGGTTGTAGTTTCCCTCCTTGTGTTGGCGTTTTCCATCAATTATCCTTTGAAGTGCTGGGTTTGTGAGAAGATACTGTGCAAATTTGGTTTTGTCATGGAATATCTTGGTTTCACCATCTGTAGTGATTGAGAGTTTTGCTGGGTATAGTAATCTGGGCTGGCAATTGTGTACTCTTAGGGTCTGTATGATGTCAGTCCAGGTTCTTCTGGCTTTTATAGTCTCTGGTGAGAAGTCTGGTGTAATTCTTATAGGTCTGCCTTTGTATGTTACTTGACCTTTTTCCCTTACTGCTTTTAGTATTTTTTCTTTGTTTTGTGCATCTGATGTTTTGATTATTATGTGACGGGAGGTATTTCTCTTCTGGTCTATTCTATTTGGTGTTCTGTAGGCTTCTTGTATGTTTATGGGCATCTTGTTCTTTAGGTTAGGGAAGTTTTCCTCAATAATTTTGTTGAAGATATTTACTGGCCCTTTAAGTTGGGAATCTTCATTCTCATCTATACCTATTATCCTTAGGTTTGGTCTTCTCATTGTGTCCTGGATTTCCTGGATGTTTTGAGTTAGGAGTTTTTTGCATTTTGCATTTTCTTTGACAACTGTGTCAATATTTTCCACCGTATCTTCTGCATTTAAGATTCTCTCTTCTATCTCTTGTATTCGGTTGGTGATGCTTGCATCTATGACACCTGATCTCTTTCTTAGGTTTTCTATCTCCATGGTTGTCTCCCTTTGAGCTTTCTTTATTGTTTCTATTTCCAGTTTCAGATCCTGAATGTTTTTGTTTAATTCCTTCTTTGTGTTTTCTTGCATTTCTTTAAGGGATTTCTGTGATTCCTCTTTAAGGGCTTCTACCTGTTTACTTGTACTCTCCTGTATTTCTTTAAGGGAGTTACTTAATTCCTTCTTATAATCCTCTATCATCATCATGAGAAGTGATTTTAATTCTGAATCCTGCTTTTCAGGTGTGATGGGGTGTCCAGGTCTTGCTATATTGGGAGAACTGGGTACTGATGATGCCAAGAAACTTTGGTTTCTGTTGCTTATGTTCTTGCGCTTGCCTTTCGCCATCTGGTTAACTCTAGTGTTACCTGCCCTCACTGTGTAAGACTGGAGTCTGTATTTCCAGTTATCTTGCTTGTTGCAGAGCTCCTCAGAGTCCAGATATCTCTGTGGTCTTATGCTCCTAATCTCCTGGGTGGAAGAACTCCTGGGACTCAGGCCACCTCTTGGATCTGGAAATCCTTCTGCTCAGAGTGCAGTGGCTCCTCGGCTGCTCTGAGTGCAGTGTCTCCTCGATGACTCAGGATTCAGTATCTCCACAGGACAGGAGCAGACCGACTCTGTGTCTGCCCCAGCCCAAAGGACCAGGCAGGGGCAGAAGGGAAGTGGAATTCCGGAGGGGCGGGGTTTGGGTAGCTGCTGTGTCCTGAATGTCCCTGGCTCCCAGATGTATCTCTGGGGCTTAGGGAGTGAGATGGAGTTCTTACCGGCTGCTCTGAGTGCAGTGGTTCTTCTAGGATGACTCAGAATTCAGTATCTCCACAGGACAGGAGCAGACCGACTCTGTGTCTGCTCCAGCCCATAGGACCGGGGAGGGGAGGAAGGGAAGTGGAATTCTGGAGGGGCGGGGTTTGGGTAGCTGCTGTGCCCTGAATGTCCCTGGCTCCCAGATGTATCTCTGGGGCTTAGGGAGTGAGATGGAGTTCTTACCAGCTGCTCTAAGTGCAGTGGCTCCTGGATGACTCAGGATTCAGTTTCTCCACAGGACAGGAGCAGACCGACTCTGTGTCTGCCCCAGCCCAAAGGACCAGGCAGGGGCGGAAGGGAAGTGGAATTCCAGAGGGGCAGGGTTTGGGTTGCTTCTGTGTCCTGAATGTCCCTGGCTCCCAGATGTATCTCTGGGTCTTAGGGAGTGAGATGGAGTTCTTACCGGCTGCTCTGAGTGCAGTGGCTCCTCGATGACTCAGGATTCAGTATCTCCACAGGACAGGAGCAGACCGACTCTGTGTCTGCCCCAGCCCAAAAGGCCAAACACTATTCTTAATAGCCAAACACACCCACAAATATATACATTTACTGTTTCTTCCCCTCAAAGGAGAATAACATCAGACATACATGCTTCTGCACATAACCATACACCATGAACAGCTTTTTATTTTATCAATTTTAATGGCTGCATAATAGTCTATGTAATTACGTATTTCTATGCATTGACATATTCATCAACATGAGTACATAAAGGTTACTTACATTTTATAATAATAAGAAACATAGGCCTGGTGGACGTCTTTGAATTCTATTTTTTGTTTTTGATTTTTTCCATCAGATATTTTCTTCATTATTTATGATAGAAAACTAAGAATAGTTTATACAATTCAATAAATTGTATTAGTCCATAAGAGTAGGTGCTGTTCAGTCAACAAACATGACAGTGGAAGAAAAAATATGCCATCTTGGCAAACACTCACAGCATGATGAAAAAATAAAGCAAATCTCAACCCAACACATAGAGAAAAGATAAAATCAGAGAGCACAAGCAAAAAAAAATGTATCTTGAGAGATAGAATTGCCAGACGTTGGAGTAGAATTCTGAATGACTGTATTTTCACATCTTTATGGGGTTTGATCATTACCAAGCATTTTGCACTCAAATTTTGCTATTTTCAAAGGTATATTTCTTAACTCTTACAGATCTCTAGAAACTAATCTGTCACAACAAAAAGAAATGAAAGAATCAGATAACCAGATATAGTGGTATATACCTACAGTCCTAGCATTTGAGAGGTAGAGGCAGAATATTAGGAGTTTAAGGCCATACTCAGCTATATAATTCAAGGCCATCCTGGGCTGCACAAGAGCTTATCTCAGGAAGAGCAACCAGGTTGTGGGGTCGGGGAGAGGGAGTAGGAGTGGAGGGTGGTGAGGACAAAGGAAAGAGGAAATAAAAACAAATTAGTTAGAAGCATTCAGCTAAGGATAGGCCTATTTCCTTCATCCTCTGGCTGATGATGGGCAATAGAAGCAACAATAGCCTGTCAAGGTGATATCAATTTGCAAGACCATAATGTCCGTGTTGATGCTTTTCCTACAGATATGTCCTTGATGACCAGTATGTCAGTTCAGTAGGAACCAAGTTTCCAGTCAAGTGGTCGGCCCCAGAGGTGTTTCACTACTTCAAATACAGCAGCAAGTCGGACGTATGGGCGTTTGGTAAGGAAGTGACCACATAGCATCCTGGCCTCATTTCTTAAGTTGACTTCCATAACAGGAAACCACAAGAACAGCAACATCCATTTGAAAAAGAACTCTGAGCCTTTACAAAATTACACACACACACACACACACACACACACACACATACACACACACACACAGAGTGTGAGACAAGGGACAAGGAAGTGGTTGAAGAGGACAGTTTCCTTCCTGGGGTTCAGTATTAGGAAGTCTTATACACGGTCCATAATTTACATCATGTTAGCATCTGCAAACAGCATCAAAGGACTTAGGGGGCTTTTCCAGCGAAACTTTCAAACAGTTTTTGTTTTGTTTTGAACAATGTTTTGTTATGTAATCGAGGCTGTTCTCAAACTCACCATCCTCCTGCAGCCTTAGTCTCCCCAAATCTAGGATTATAGGTGTGAACCACCTCTTTTAGCCTCTAAGAGTTTTGTGAAGGAATCATTAAAATTTTAAATGTTAGTTTCTTTGAAACCCCAAAGGCTGGAGGGCTTAAGTATAAACCACCGGTTCTGGGCATAAGTGTAGCTATGGTAACTGTTCAGACGGATCCCTTCAGAATAGGCATAGTGTCTTGGTATCTCCAAGATAAACAGCAAACTTGACTCTGCTTTCTTTGGCACTGTGGAAGCCCTCTTTTCCATTACTATGAAGAGCACCCTGGCAGAATCAATCTAACTAAAGAAATGATTTCTTTTGGCTCACAGTGTTGAAAGTTCCAATCTGTGATCAGACCCATTGGCTTGGTTTATGAGGAGGTGGACAGGGACAAGGCAGAGGATGTGCCAGGAGCAAAGCTGCTCCTAGGTAACAAAGATGAAGAGATACTGGAGTCTCACTCCGCCCTTCAGGGCATATTACATGACTGCTGGGCCTCTTAAACAGTGAACATTTACCTTATTTCAACCCATCTTCTCCCCTTGCTAAAATTAGCATTTGGGATCAGGAGTTGGGAGACAACAGTCCTGGACACAATGTGGTGGCCTGTTTCTATAAATAAGCTCACACTGGCCACAGGGGTGCCCATCCATTGCCATGTTGTTTGTGGCTGATTTTGTGCCACAGCAGAGTAATTGCCAAAGTGTGACACACAGTCTAAGAAACTTAAGATTGTATATTTTTATAGATGCCTGAAAGCCATTTTACTTTGTTAAAACACTTACATTAAAATTTACTTGCTCAAGGTAGGCATGATAAGACACATTTGTAATCCCAAACCTCAGGTACTAGGGCAGGAAGTTCATGCATTCTAGACCAGGCTGAGGAATTTAACAAGACCTGTCTCAGTGCAACAAAAGCTTGACTAGTTGAGTTGGTAGTGTAGCTAGCTCAGAGGGGAAACACTTGCCTCGAGTGTTCAAAGGCCCTGGGTTTGATCCCCACCACTGCAAAAATAACCCGAAAAACGAACCAAAATCAGGAAAAAAGAGAGCAGCCCATGAACCTAGGCCCCAAGTGGTTCCCCTTGCTGTTGCCATTCACTGGCTTTCTATCAAACAGAAAGGACTCTGAAAAAATGCAGGAACATCTAGACTGTAAAAGTGGTAACCCAAGCCCAACTCCCACCTTTCACTAGACCTCGTTTCCCAGAAATCCCTTGCTCTGGCCAATAGCCTTCTGGTCCTGTGATGTGAAGTTCCTTCCACAAGCCCCAGTCCTTCTGACACTGACTCTCCTTTCTCTTTTGTCTGTTGACTGCCCCCGGATGCCCTACAGGAATCCTGATGTGGGAGGTGTTTAGTCTGGGGAAGCAGCCCTATGACTTATATGATAACTCTGAGGTGGTTGTGAAAGTCTCTCAGGGCCACAGACTCTACCGGCCCCAACTGGCATCAGACACTATCTACCAGATCATGTACAGCTGCTGGCATGAGGTAAGTATAACCCCTGAGGAGGTTGGAAGGGTGGGCAGGGGTTAATAGGCATGGATGGGGGTGGGGCTCCAGTGGGGATGAGAAAAAGAAAGTACCTGCTAGAAAAAAGTTGAAAATGGTCCTGGGTCATGTTATATATATATATATATATATATATATATATATATATATATATATATATATATATATGCACATACGTGTGTGTGTGTGTGTGTGTGTGTGTGTGTGTGTAAAAACAAAAAAACAAAAAACAAGTCAAGTGCTGACAATTTGCTTAACAACCTAGAGCATTGTTGTAAAGAGTTTATGAATATATTAACTCATCAGAAAATACTCTGTTGTTAATAAAACTGACAAGTGAGGAAATAGAAGGTCAGGGAGGTTATGTGAGTAACATCCAGTCACAGTTATTAAAGAGGCAGACTGACTGATGCCAATATCCTTGCTCTTTTGTTTCTTTAATTTTTAATTTTTAGCAGTTTTTGGTTGGTTATGTTGGGTTGTTTTTTCAAAAGAAGGTTTTTCTGTGTACCCTGGGTGTCCTGGAACTCACTCTGTAGACCAAGCAGGCCTTGAACTCAGAGATTTGCCTGCCTTTGTCTCCTAAGTGTTGGAATCAAAAGTGTGAGTCACAACTGCCCAGTTTCTTTTTGAGATTATAATGTAATTGTAATTAAGATGTAATAATTATAATGCAATTACATATCTCCCTTGGCTTTTCTTCCTCCAAATCCCTCCCCCTCTTCTCATTTACCCCTTCCCTCTCTCCCTCAAATTCAGATCCTCTTCTTTCATTTACTGTTACTGCATTCGTGTGTGTGTGTGTGTGTGTGTGTGTGTGTATTCCTAAATATAACCTGTTCAGTCTTTTATGTTACATGTACATGTATGTTTTAAGGCCTGACTTTTTGGTACTGGACAACCAATAGATGTGTTCTTCCCTAGAGAGGACCACCCCCCTGCTCCCAGCTTTCCTCGGTTGCCTATAGCTCTTTATGTAGGGTTGAGGCCTCATTTTTCACAACAGTATGAAATCTCACTTCTACTCAAAAATATATGACAGACATCTAATCTCATACAGAGATCACATGAAAGGTCTCCTCTTCTTCTTTTTCTCTTTCTCCCCATCCTCCTCCTTCTTTTTCTTCCTCCCCTTCTTCATCCCCTACCCTATCTTCTAATCTCCCAAACACTGAGATAGAAGAGAAAGGTGTTACACGAAGCAGATGTGAGCCTAAAATGGAAGAAATTCCATCACTTAGATGTTTAAACAATTAATTAGATGTCTTAGATGTTTAAACAATTAATTGGTGGTGTTAGGTCTGAGGTTCTGCACTACTTCCTTAGCTGAACTCAGTTTTTTCATATATATGTATATGTGTGTATGTGTGTGTGCTAAAAACGTCAAGACGTTTATAATTATGTACCCAAATTAAAAAGATAGAAAGTAGCATGGACTCAGAGAATGGAGAGTAGCTCGCTCCTTTGAATGCATTGGTATCTGAGCTGGATCAGGAAATCTCCTCAAAATGCCCTTAGTATGTGAGCAGAGATGGTGTCAAAGTGTGTCCAAGTGAGAATACCACAAGCAAAGATGTGGAAGCAGGCTTGATGTTCTCAGCTAGAGCTGTTGTTGGAAAGGCTGAAAATAAATTTGGAGGAGTAAGTTTGATCAAGTATCTGTACCCTAAAGAAGAGGAGAACGATGAGGAGAGGGAGGGAGAGGAGGAGGCAGAGGAGATATTCAATTTTTACATGCAATGGAAAGCCATTGAAAAATTTTGAGCAATACAAAAATGAAACTTCAAAAAATATTTATTTTATTGTGTGTTTATTATGTATTACATAAACTGTAGTCCAACCATATAGTTTTTATAATGTTTACCCTGTTGTTGGAAGCACCACTTACTAAAAGACTATCAAGAGATAAGGAAATACCTTGTTGGCAGAGAGAGGTCACACTAATATTACTCTCTCTGCAGAATAATACTGATTTATTTTGGGATTACCTCTTTTGTAGCCTGGTCTTCTATGCCAGCACCACAATATTTTAATTATATGTTGTTATATAACAAAGTATTATGTGATATCTTGTAGGCTAGAACCCTCAGGTTTTTTTGTTCTTCACAGCTTCTGAGCCATTTTGCAAATTCGAAGTCTGTAAAATAAATTCATCTATATTAGGTGCAACTCATTCATATCTTTAAGATTGTATTTCCTTTTTATTTTAACTAGAGAAATCCTATATCTCCATGACACTGACATGTCCTACTGTAGGACAAAGGAGACTTTTTTCTTAATATATGTTCCAGTCTACATTTCTATCTTTTAAGTTTCTCCTTGTTGAGGGGTATATCCCTAAGGATTTGGTTTTGATATTGTTGCTATTATAAATGATGTCTTCCCTTCCATCATATCTTCTGACTGGTTACTATTGGCTATTGATTTTATTTGTTAATTCTTTTACCCTACCTACATAGTAAAATCCTTTATTGTTTGAGGGAGTCTATCATTAGTCCTCTTGAATTTTCAAGCATACAATTATGTCCTATGCAAGTAGTTTTCCTTTCCTAATTCTTGAGGCTGATTTTTGCTTCCTGGGTGCATTGATTGGAAATTTCAACATGATCTTAAGAATAGTGAGTACAAAAGCCACCGTTGCCCCATTCTGAATCTGAGCAAGAAGGTCTATGGTGTTTCAAAAGTCATTCAATGGGTGTGGTACACATGCCTTGAATCTTACCAATTAGGAGGCAAAGCCAGAGCACATCTTTGTGAGTTCAAGGCCAGCTTTGTCTACATAGCACACTCTATGCTAGACAGGGCTAGTCAGTGAGATCTTCTCTCAAATGAAATAGAATGTTATTCACATTAGGACTGAACTATACATGCTTTATATATTGTTCGTTTGTGTGTGAGTGAGAGGGTGTGCGCACAGTATGCAGTGTTTGTGATTGTGTTTGTGAATATAGGTATACTGATGCCATTGTGTGCTTGTGTCTGGTGTCAATGCTTACCATCTACCTTGCTTGAGGCAAAATCTCTTGTTTGCTGTTGTGCACACCAAGCTAGTTGACCTGGGAGCTTCCAGGCATTTTCCAGTCTTCTAGGAGTGCTAGGATCACAGACTCATGTCACACATCAGGCTTTTATGTAGGTTCTGAAGATTGGAACTTGTGGGGCAAGCACTCATACCCACTGAGTCATCCCCCAGCCCTGTATTGTTGTTTGTCATTTTAATTATTGAGTCAGGGTCTTGTGTAGCCCAGGCTGGCCTCAAACTTGCTGTATAGCCGAGGATAACTTTGAACATCTGATCCTCCTGCCCATTCCTCCCAAGTCCTCAGATTACAGATGTATTCCACCACACCTGGTTAAAGTGGTCCTGGGAACTGATGCCAGGGTGTCTTGCTTTCTAGGCAAACACTTTACCAACTGAGCTACATCCCCAGTCCCTCTAGTATTCTGGACATTATTCTTTTTATCATCTAACACATTGGGGTTTTCTTTTATTTAGCTTCCAGAAAAGCGCCCCACGTTTCAGCAACTCCTATCTGCCATAGAACCGCTTCGGGAGCAAGATAAACCATGAAGAGACATTTCAGAGTGGTGAAGAGAATGAATATCAACATTAACCAATGCTCTCATTGTCTGTAAGGGAAGTAGAAAGACTCAATGTAATGTAGCTAGTTCTTAATAATGGTCTATGTGTTGTTTATCTGTTATATAATCTACAAAAAAAGTAAGGTAGGAAACAAGACATTTCTTTGAAGTTTAGGTCAAATTGGTAATTTTTTTTTTTGTGCTGCTTTTAGTGTACTACTTCCCAGGCTATGGTAGAAGTTCATTTTAGATTGCAATTTTCAAACCGTGTGTACTGTTTATAAAGGTAGAGCAGAATTGAAAAGGTGATTTGTTGGGAACTCCATTTTTTTTTCTAGTGACACTAGTGTGATACTTAAATATCTTTTTTTTTTTTTTGATTTTTTTTTTTAATTTTTTTATTGGATGTTTTATTTACATTTCATATGTTGTCCCCTTACCCCATCCCCCACCCACCCAGGAACCCCCAATCCCCTCACACCTCCTCCTTCTTCTTTGTGGATGTAACCTCTATCTACCCCCCCACTCCCACCTCCCCACCCTCAAAACTCCCACCCCCTGGGGCATCCAGCCTTCATGAGGTCAAGGATCTCATCTTCCACCTGTGCCCAGCAGGGCCCTCCACTCTTATATATTAAGCTAAAGCCCTGGATCCCTCCATAAGTGCTCCCAGGCTGGTGGTTTAGACCCTGGGAGCTGTGGTTGGTTGGTATTGTTGCTCTCCTCATGGGGCCACAAATCCTTTCAGCTCCTTCAGTCTTCACTCTAACTCCTCCATTGAGAACCCCATGATCACTTCAATGGCTAGTTGTGAGCATCTGCCTCTGAATATGTCAGACTCTTGAAGACCTCTGAGGAGACATCCATATCAGGCTCTTATCAGCATGCACTTCCTGACTTCCACATCAGCATCTACCTTTGGTGACTGCACATGGGATGGATACTCAGGTGGAAAGGTCTTCAGACGGCCCCTCCTTCAGTTTTTGTCCCTCGCTTTGTCTCCATATTTGATCCCTTGAGTATTTTGTTGCTCCTTCTAAGAAGGACCGAATCACCCCCACTTGGTCTTCATTCTTTATGGACTTCATGTGGCCTGTGAGTTGCATCTTGGGCATTTTAAGGTTCTGGGCTAATATCCAATAATCAGTGAGTGAATACCATGTGTGTTCTTTTGTGATTGGCTTACCTCACTCAGTATGATAATTTCTAGTTCCATCCATTTACCTAGGAACCTCTCAAATTCATTGTTTTTAATAGCTGAGTAATACTCCATTGTGTAAATATACCACATTTTTTTAATCCATTCCTCAGTTGAAGGACATCTGGGTTCTTTCCAGCTCCTGGCTATTATAAATAAGGCTGCTATGAACATAGTTGAGCATATGTCCTTATTATATGTTCGAGCACCTTCTGGGTATATGCCTAGGAGTGGTATAGCTGGATCCTCGGGTAATGCTATGTCCAATTTTCTGAGGAACCGCCACACTGATTTCCAAAGTGGTTGCACCATCTTGCAGTCCCACCAACAATGGAGGAGTGTTCCTCTTTCTCCACACCCTCGCCAGCATCTACTATCACCTGAGTTTTTAATCTTAGCCATTCTGACTGGTGTGAGATGGAATCTCAGGGTTGTTTTGATTTGCATTTCCCTGACGACTAAGGATGCCGAGCATTTCTTTAGGTGCTTCTCGGCATGTATATGTTTGCTTCTGTATGAGAAATGTCTAGGGCATTTGAATATTTCTTCTCCAGTTTGTGGCACTGTTTGGCCATTTAGGAGGTATGGCCTTGATGGAGAAATTATGTCAATGGGGCAGACTTTGAGAGCTTAAGGCCTCACTCTACCTGTAGTTTACTATCTCTGCTTGCAGTTCAAGATGGGAGCTCTTAAAAGCTGAAGAGATGGCTTAGTGGTTAAGAACACTGGCTGGGTCCTTCTTCCAGAGGACCCAGATTCAATTCCTAGCACCTACACAGTGGCTTACAACTTGTCTCTAAATCTGGTTCTAGGGTATCTAATGGCCTCTTCTGGCCTTCATGGGTACCAGGTACACATATGATACACCAACATATATACAGGCAAAGAAGAAAAATGAAGGGTGTGAGCTCTCAGCATCCTGCTCTATATGCTTTGTCTGGAAGTTGCCTTTGCCCTGCCATTTCGAACTCTAACTCCCTGGAACTATAAGCAAAATAAAGCCTTTCTTCTATAAGTTGTCCTGGTCATAGCTTTTTATCATAGAACAGAAAAGCAACTAATACAATGTACAAGTGACCTCAAAAGTTTACATGTTTGAGAGCCAAATGGAGAGTTAATTACAACGCATAGTCCTAGACATCACCTTAGATATTTTGATAAAGCAGATCTGAGTGCAGCCCATGATCTGGCATTTTTCCCAAGCTCCCATGCATGCTGAACTGACCTAGGGTACCTCATTATGTGTCATGGCACTGATGTATGATCTAGAACTCCATTTGGATGATACAGCTTCTGCTCCATCTCCAGACTAAAACAATGATACTTCATGAAATATAAAACCATATCGAGCAATGTGTTGACTGATAATGTTGAACAATGTATTCCATCTTTCACACAGAGCACAATTTATTCTGAAAGATGTTCAGGTAGAAATTAATACCTTCTTCCTCCACATTATCCTCCACCATTATCAATTACCACTTCGTGAGACCGTGGTCTTACTAGAATTAAGACAATCTTACTTTATAATGATGTTAAACCCTTAAGTTGGGGGCTTCGGAGATTTGGGCTCACTTTGAAAGATAGTTGAAGTTTCGATTTCCATCTTAAATCTTAACACAGATACAAAAATAGTATTTAAAATGTTTAGACTTTTTATTTCATGTGTATGTGTGTGTACTATATGTCTGTAGTACCCATAGGTCAGAAGAGGGAGTTAGATCATCTGGAAATGCAGTTAGAGATGGTTGTGAGCCACCATATAGATGCTACAAATCAAATCTGGTCCTCTAGATGAGCAGCCAGTGCTCTTAAGTGCCGATGCTCTTCCTTTTACTCATACTGCCCATTTCTTTATCTACCAACAAGCTCAAATATCTCCCTTGCTTATTTGTTTCTTTTTTTTTTAAATTTCTTAATGAAATTTATGATTTTGTGCGGGAAATAAATAATTAACAACTACATTCTTTATCCTACAGCCATAAGTTCTGGGAATAAATTCAGAACAGTATAAAAAGATGTATCAAAGTATACAGTTACCTAAAGTGGTTTGAAATGGGTGTAGTGTGCAGTCCCTTGGCTTTCTGGGGAAGAACAATAATGAATCTATTCTTCTGGTAGGATCAGCATTCATGAATCTATGTTTTTATTTAATATTCAAATCATTTTCCTATCTTGCTACTTGTTATCCTCCTGTTTGCCATGAGCTTCATGTGACCCACTAGTATGGGATCACCTTACTAGTGGGTCACATTTCCATTACCCAGGATCAGTTTCCAGATACTTTCAGGTCCCTGTGTGCATCTGTCTTCTGCTGGGCATCTGCTTGTACAGAGTGAATGAGTAGGATGCAGTACTTTAGTCAACAAGACAGTCATATTAGGGCAGAGGAGACAACACCAGCTTACTGGGATAGCCAGGAGGAGTGAAGCAGGCTCATTTACTTACAACAGGAAATTTCATTGTTTTGGACATGTGACAGAAGGCACCAAGGCAGAGGGAGAGGCAGAGGGTGTGAGTTATTTTTCTTTTTCTTTTTTTTTTCTATTTTATTTATTTATTTATTTTTTAATTTCTTTTTTTTTTTTGAACATGAAATGCTTTTTTATAGCATGTTTTACAAGGGGAGGGGGTAAGAGGGTCCAGGTGGTGGAAAAGTACAAAATCTTCTTGGCCTGTGCCTTGAAACATGTCATGGTCTATATGGTACACTGCCTTGAATTATGATCTACCTGCAGTTCTTCAGAAGATATGGTACACTGCTTGAGTTATGGTCTCCCTGCTATTCTTAAGAAGACATGGTACTCTGCTTTGAGTCTATCTGCAGTTGCTAAGCAGGATCTTGCAGCTGCCAAGCTTCAGAGGACATTGTGCAGGTGGGGAAAGGTAGGGGGTAAGGGTAAGGGCGAGGGTCCTGGCTTCTGGCATCTCCCCCTTCTCTGTTTAGTTAGAGAAGGCGTCTTATGTTCAATCCCAACTATGTGAGTTTTGAATTTGGATGTCTAATTATGGGGGGTCTTAGACAAGTTCACAACCCCAAAACACTGATGTGAGACAAGTCACATCGATGGTCGAAGGCTTTAGGCTGTCGACGATGGGCAACGTCAAGGGACTCTCATGTGGGTGAAAGGAGGGTGAGAGCCCTGTCTTAGGCCATGTAGGCTGCACCCACACCCAGCACCACGCACTCCTTTTCGGCTGCATTGGGTGGGCCCCTGGGAAGTGGACCTACAATAATCCCGTCATTGGGCTAACTCACAGCCATCCTAGTCTCTTGTAAATGTTCAAGTTACCAACCATTTGTCAGTTTGGGGTGTAATATTGTCATAAAGGAAGGCTCCCCAATGTTAGCGGCCATATCAAGGGTGGCCTTGGTTTAGGAAAAAGCCAATTTTTGTTGTGGTGATCAAGAGGCCAAGCTCTCTAGTGAGAGAAATGAGGGCAAAGCCAGGCATACCAGGAACCCTTCTGGAGGGCGTGGAAGTCTAGGGGTCGACCGTAGGGGGAGGCAGGGGAGCTGACAGCTGTGTCAGTCTCCTGCGGAGTCACTTCTGGATCCTCTGCAATTTTCAGCTGATGGTAATGAACTTCAACTGCCTTCTTGGTGGCAGCATCAACCTGGTTCCGTGGACGACAGGTCACGGGCGATGATCTCTGTCTCACTCAATCTTGATGTCGTGCGCACATCCTCTCAATGAGGGTTCGTCCGGATGGGTCCGTGCCTCGAGCCCCACGTCTGGGTGCCACTTGACCCGACCGGCGGGTTCTGGTTGTTCGTGGGGGCGAGGAGG